ATAAAACACGTTTTGAAATCTAAAGATATCGTAGAATACTTAAATAGCGTATAGAGTCATAAACACGTTTTGAAATACAAAATATCGTAGAATACTTAAATAGCGTATAGAGTCATAAAACACGTTTTGAAATACAAAATATCGTAGAATACTTAAATAGCGTATAGAGTCATAAACACGTTTTGAAATACAAAATATCGTAGAATACCTAAATAATATGTAAGTCATAAAACACGTTTTGAAATCTAAAGGTATCATAGAATACCTTGAATAGCGTATAGAGTCATAAAAGACATTCGAATAAAGCATGCTGATCAGTTATTGTTCTGTTTTGTTATATTACTCAATTTGTTGCCTTCAGATATTGAAGACTGTTAACCATTTATTTGAGTGTATTCAAGTCACACTTCACTTTAACATTCAACGACTCGTCGATTCTCGAGCTGTGATTTATAACATTATTTGTTAGATATTAACGTAATTTGCATAAAATTGAAGTTCCATTCTTTAATTCAGTTATAAAGTTTCGATATCTTTCATATCAATTTTCTATGTGAGTAACTTGTCATATTATAAAGAAAAAATCTTATACGGGTTTGTGTCAATCCAAATATTTACAAGATCTGATTTTGAAAACTGATGACTTTCTACTAAGATAGAAAAATGATAAATTAAAACTTTTTAAGAATACATATCTCCGTAGTTTTACTTGATGACCCCAGATTAACCCAGTGTAACGTTGTTTTAAATTTTTAGCTGTTTTATTTTATCTGAAAAACTTCATTTGTACTATACACGGTAACTGTGTATCACATTAAAGCTTTTTTTCAAAAGAAGTTTAAAGGCTACTCAGGCAGAAATATAATATTGTAATCAATACAAGCTTAAGATAACGTTTTCCTGTTGGTGAATCATTTATAAAGGGTTACAAGTGATTTAACTTCATAATTAATCGTACCATTCCATTTCCCACCAGGGCAGCTCACAAAATTAGATGAATTTAGAACAACCTGATCTTCGTTTACAGAATAGCTAGAGTAACAAAATATTTGAGACATTTTTCTCCTCTACATATGACTAGTTTTTATAGTCTTCACAAGAACCAAACATCAGTGTATACGGCAACAGGAAAATCTACCTTCGAAATATATATTCCCTTTATTTGTTGATAACACACGCCTGCAAATTTAAACTTCATGAAATTTGTTTTGGTTTTAATAACCGATGTTTCAAAAATTAGTAACCAGACTTCGAAAATAATATTCATTTTTTACTGTATATTTGTTTGACATCAATTTTCTTCCCTATTCTTCAGTTTGTTTCTATTTTTTGTTAACAAACATAATAACAGAAAATGTTCATTTTGGTAAACGAAATAATAATTTTATCTAAGTAAGAGTTTTTTTCTTATTCCTGACTTGTAAAAAATTCTTACGTGATGGATAGTATTTGTTTGTGCGTGCACTTTGACAATATTTTTTGTTTTCAATATTATTTATTCGTCGCTATGAGAACAAGAGATTGTGCAGATAACCCAAACATTTTCTGTTATATTGTGGTAAATTTGTTGTAAAGAAACAGAGGCAAAACATTACAGAATTCGTAAAAAAAAGCGTATTACGCGTATTTTGGAATAAAACTTGGGGACCAAGACATTACAGAATTCGTCAGAAAAAAAGCGCATTACGCGTATTTTGGAATAAAATTTGGGGACCAAGACAAATCATGGATTCCGTATAACGTTTGCACCGTTTGTGTGGAATAGTTGAGATAACGGACTGAAGGTAAGAAAAAATATTTGTCTTTTGGAATTCCAAAGGTCTAGCGTGTGCCTAGAAACCAAGGAGATGACTTCTATTTTTGCTCATGTAACGTGCAAGGCTATAATGCTCGAAATAAAAGGGAAATTTCTTATCCGAACCTTCAATCTACTATAAGACCTGTTGATGTAGCGTGCAATGCTACAACACTTGAAATATAATGGAAATTTCTTATCCGAACCTTCAATCTGCCATAAGACCTGATATAGCTGTACGTACTCCACCAGAAACTCTTCATACAGTTTCTGATGTCGATAGAAATTATGATTGGGATTGTTTTCAACCTGAAACGTTTGGTGAACCACAACTTTTCACACAAGGCGAACTTAATGATTTGTTGAGAAATTTGGGCCTTCCAAAGGATTCTTCAGCGATTTTGGGGTCCAGACTTCGGGCTAAGAACTTACTTTCTCCAGGGACATCATTTTACTGGTGCAGAAATCGTGAGAAATAGTTTATACCATACTTTTCGCAAGAAGATTCACTGGTTTATTGTAACAATATTGCTGAATTAATACCAATTCTATGAGCTGCAGCCTATGAACCAAGTGAATGGCGGTTGTTCATTGATTCCTCCAAAAGAAGTCTAAAAGGTGTTCTACTTCGAAATGGTAACATACATGCATCTGTTCCTATTGCTCATTTGAAGGAAACGTACGAAAATCTCGAACTTCTTTTTAATAAGGTCAAATCCAAAGAACATGGTTGCTACCTTATGGAGACTTAAAAGTCCTTTGGATGTTGTTGGGTCAACAATCCGGTTATACAAAGTTTCCATGTTTTTTGTGTGAATGGCATAGCAGAGCACGAAATCAGCACAGGATAAAGAAGCAATTGTCACGCAGAGTCAGCCTGATGCCAGGATCGAAAAACATTGAACGCAAAAGTTTGGTTAACACAAAGAAAGTCCTATGGCTACTATTTCAAGTATCCATGTGGGCGAAACTTAAAGAAGGGATTTTTGTTGGACCTCAAATTACGAAATTGACTTCGGATTAACAGTTCCAAAAGACAACGAGGAAAGATGAAAAAAATGAGTGGTTTGCCTTTAAAGATGTTAGTGACAAATTTTTAGGAAACAACAAGGACACGAGTTAAGAAAATATTGTCAGTAACATGCTTGATAAATTCAAAGAGTTGGGTTGTAATATGAGTTTGAAAGTTCATTTCTCACATATTGACTATTGCCCTGAAAATCTCGGTGGTATCAGCGAAGAACAAAGACATCAGGAAAATAGAGAGGAGGTATCAGAGAAGGTCGAACATCAGCATCATGGCTGATTACTACTGGTCATTGAAACGAGATGCTCCTAATGCAATACATAAAAGAAAGACCACAGGACGAAGTTTGGAGACTAAAAGACGTAAATTTCACAAAAGAAATCTGGATGGATGAGGATAACACTTTTCCTTCCGGATCTACTATAAAAAAATAATAAACTGTATATTACGGAGATTTCCATGAATTCTATCATTTAAAACAGTTGCATTCAGTTCCTTTTCACTCAAAAATAAAATTTGTTTATCTCCTTAAATAAATAACAGTTCCTCTCTTTAACTGCTTATTTAAAGATACGTTGTAACAACTTCAAGACATGTAAAGCTCCACCACTAGGTGGCGATGTGTACCGTCTTTCTGACTGTAACGATTTAACATTTTGTAAATGTTTTATCAAAGGCCCAATAATGCTGCAACGATTCGCTTAGCTCGAAAAGAGCAATCAGTCTTACTGCAGCGCCCCTAGCGGCTGTTTTGACGCTAAGATGCCGCACGTTTGCTGTGTAAAAAGTGTCTCTTTTTTTTTTCATACACATATAATACGCTTGGAATTTTTCCGATTCTGGTTCTGATTTACGTATCAAATAAACATTTTTAATTTAATAAATAAACACATTTTTCTTCGTTTTAAATCATAAGCATTCTTTTGTTTCTTACCAGCACCTGGTTCCAAATTTTTCTAAGCACTTTACTTTTTTAGAAGTTCGTAAAATTGACAAAAATTATTTATCAAGAGACGGCATGTTAGCTCAATTTTTATTCATAAAACATACATAACACAACCCCCCCCCCCCAGTGGCACAGCGGTACGTCTGCGGACTAACAACGCTAGAATACGGGTTTCGATACCCGTGATGGGCAGAGCACATATACTCATTGTGTAGCTTTGTGCTTAATTACAAACAAACGAACATAACACAGGCCTGCGATAGTTTTATTGTCTTGAAAGTTTTACATGTTCGACAGTAACTCCTGTACACTGAATCCTAAAATGATATCCATTTTTCTCCATCACATACAGATTTTTCCCAAAACGTCATATGTACTTTTACATAAGTGAATTATTTTCATTGAAATCGGGTCACATTTTGTTATGCTTAAAATGCTGACAACCTATGGCTATAGAGATCTCTAGACCAATCGCGACGTGAGGGTGTTGTCCATCGTTCTAGAACCCACAAGAAACTCACCGCTAATATATAAAGGGTTAACAGGTCGCATGACGTGTCATTTCTGATGACAATATCTGAATAAGTCTTGATTTTGTTCCAGTCGAAGCAGAAGCTATTGAAGGTTTCAGGGTTAGCAATATGTCTTTTGACTCCATTACTCAGTAGATATACAGCTGGTCCACTTCCCTTAACAAGTTCTGCACCATTGGAAAGTGGATCACAGTTACACACGTATTTTATTAAAATATTTGATTTAATGCAACTCCAAGTTTTGTAGAGATTGTTGTAAGTGGGAGGATTGGGCACCCAGCGCCTACACCCATCTATAATTTGGTACACTGCTGGCTCATTAGGGTGTTTCATCAGGTTTCCATCCAGAGTTTTGTCTGTCACTACAGAAGATAAGATTAAAATCAAGATATTGCCAACCATAATGAATTACATTACGTTTTAGTACATATATCTCTATATTAAAATCATTAATAAAATATTTATGTTTTTAGTAAATAAGATCAGTTGTAAACATGCACGGATACAAACATGGTGTTTAAAGTTTTCTTTTACTACTTCTAACTAAAATTTGACAAATAAAATCAAGTTTCAGGATGATATAGACACAGTTACCTTTTCAAAGTTTTGTCTTCATTAGTTAAATTTACTCGTTGAAAATATTTAGCCAACTACATTCAAAATAAATACTATAGGATTGTGCTGATAGACGAACTGGTTAAGCTAATAAACTATATCCCAAGCCTTACAGTTAAACTGATATAATAAAACATCCCAACATTCTTCAACAATTGATCACTAGTGGAGACACCAGCAGCAGTCAAACGAGTGTAACAAGGTTACAAAACTGATTGTATGGCCAAATATTTTATACAAGTGAACGTTGTTTCTTTCAGGGAAAGAGGAGTGACTGAACTTGAAAGTTGGCGAACCGATGAGCAGACACAAAACTTGATCAAGAAACGTAACATGATTTTACATGGCCTTTAAAACAACATAATGGAACTACATATCCGTTTAACACATTATTAGAAAATGTTACAAAAGAAAATGTTTTATTGACTTACCACATGTGCAGTCAACTCCTCCTGTGATGTGTATTAGGTAGAGAAGAACAAGGGTTAACCAGAAATTGACAATTGCCATCTTGAAAGGATTTTCTCTTTCTCTTGTACTTTACACACACTTCTCGACATACATAGAAATATAAAACAAAATTTTCTTGAAAGAAATGATGATACAAATAAATAATACATCATGTATTGTTTTTAGCCACATAACCCAGTTATGTATTATTGTTCCCCACTTAATACACCATGTATTGTTGTTAACCAGCGATGTAATGAAAACACCAACAATAATGAGAAAAAGTGTAACTAAATAAACATGTTTTCGATTTCATTCTACACGTTTTATAAACATACACGTGGGATGTTTTTTTTTATGACACTGCTGTATCATAAACATTCTTAGAACTTCTTCAAACATACTTTCTGGAATTCTAGTTGCAGCTAACCCAGGGATGTGTCTGTTTTCGTTAGATAACAGATATGTCTTCCGGAAATGAAATAGTATGTTTTATATATATATATATATATATATAGCGCAATGTTTAAGCAGGTTATACACGTTTAGTGATACTTTCTTTTCTATTCGCATGCCAAAAGAAAAGCTAATAGTTTCTGACCGTCTCACGTTAGGCTATTAACCCGTTTCGTTAGGAGCAACAACTTTATCATCAGTAGGCAGTGACTGGTAGTTTTACAAGGAAAACGTTGTGGTCTGAGCATTCGCAACTGCTATTTTCTTTCAATCTGGTTAATTACCGTTCTCTTTCAAAATTCAAGGCTCGTGAGTAGAAGTTAAGTCTGATAGACGGAGTTTCTTTAACGCCTTGTGAGTGTAATTCTTTCTTTTATAAATTTACAGGAATGGTGTTTGCAAGTGAAATGCGATTCTAAATGAATCTTAAAATTTACTTTTTTTTAGATATCTTCAATTTTCCTAATGATAAAATAATTATATTACATTGTATATATTTTTTTATCCGACGGGTACGTTACGAAGCAAGCAGTTCCATCAAAATATTAAAAATAAACTTGTATTAGTAATCATGTAAAAATATTATTATTTTTTAAATAAGACTGGACTCTGTGTGGGGAACAATAATACATTACTGTGCTATGTGGTTAAAAACAATACATGATGTATTAGATGGTTAACAATAATACATAACGGTGTTCGTGGTTACCATCATCACATGACAGTGTTACCTGGTTAAAAACAATACATAGTGTACTACACGAGTAACAATAATACTAACTGTGTTACGTGGTTATCAGCATCAGTTAACAACAGTACATGGTGTATAACAGGGATAATAATGATACATAACTGTATTACGTTGTTACGTTGTGTGTCCCCCCTATGAGTCAGCGATAAGTTAACGTACTTACCAAGTTAAAATCTGGGGTTCGGTTCCCCGCGGTAGCCATAGCTCAGATAGTCGATTGTGTGACTTTTGACATTTCTGTCGTTCTTTGGTAAAGCGGTTCATACTACTTGTTCATGTTCTGAGCCTAAAATGGCGGTATATTTTCCCTCTTCTCTCACCTTGTAAACCGTTGTTCAATTAACATTATAAAAAACTTTACTTTACTTACCTTTCCTGAGAATAAATAAAAGATGATAACGTTCTAATATGTTTGTTTGTAATTAAGTACAAAGCTACACAATGGGCTATCTGTGCTCTGCACACCACGGGTAACGAAACCCGAATTATAGCGTTATAAGTCCGCAAACATACCGCTGTGCCACTGGAGGGCGTTCTGATATGAAACTAAACTTTTTCAGATGGTCAAAGGTATAAACCCCAGCTTCCTTTGCCTTCTGGGATATGTACTTCTGGCTTCCATCTCCCCCTGTTTCGGTCGAATCGTCCGCCGAAGTAACATCCAGTGTCGGTCTTGGAAGAGCAGTGAGATACGATGTGCTAAGGATGACTGGCCAGGGAATCGAATTAGGCGTAATTTACAGTTGCAAATCATCCCACTACTGCTCTTTGCTCCTGAAGAAGTTGTAAAGCAAAACGTCGAGTGTCTAATTAAATAAAAACAACATTTTGGTGTTATAAAGTCGTTTATTTCTAGTGTTTTACACCTTAATTAAATGAAACCAAAATTAAAGTTGACTGAATAACCCAACACAAGAACATAGTTATAAAATTATCCAATAAACCAACATCACTATACAAGCACTTAATAGAATGAAGCAATAATATATAGTTATAAAGCAATATAACAATATTAACAATTAATACAAAATTGGAGAACAATATTTGATAATACTTTACTGTAGTGCGGAGCAAATAACTTCTGAGAATTGTTACTTTACAGTAAAACTATTCGATAGGATAAGCTTTCAAAACATGAAGACAGTTGATATGACTACCATGTTGACGACAGTTATAAATAAATATTTCCCGATATTTACTGTGTACTGTTTAGAAGAATACTTTGATCCTGGCCAACCGCATGAGCTGATCCACTGGTCAACAACAAATTTGGCACTAGCAGAAGACTTGTTTACGATCTTATAAAATTACTCTACTTTACAAGACTTTCCGACAGTATGTTATCCTGTTTTGAAATTAAATTAACATTTAAATAACGAAATTTTATAGTTTTATAATTTCTAAATAACGAAAGAAAAAATTATTGAAAAAATACGGTACTCCGCTGCCAGTCACTAGGAGCAAACCAGAAATAGTCAAGATAGCCAAGCAGCTTAAATGTCAACAGAAGTAACCCAAGAACTGAGTTATCCATTACATTTAAAGTAAAAAAATACCCTTCGGACAATGTAGTTAACATGGATTTAGGTTTTACAAAAACGACACCAAAGCCCTGTTTAATCAAATATAGTTCAAATTCTGAAAACACAACCGTGCAATGTCATCACTGAAGTTCGGTAATGTAAATGTTCTTATAGTAATTTCAACAGACACATTTGAGAGGTATTTTAATAATAGTACCAGAAGTTCTTTGGGACTTAACTCTGAAACTCTGGGTGACTAGGATTGTAGAAGCAAATTATTTAAAAAGTTCCAAATAATATATCTTGAAACTTGTACAATAGTACAAAGAACAACTTTTTGTATTGGCTTACAACGCTAAAAAACAGGTTTTCATATCAGTGGTGGGCACAGCACAGCACAGATAGCTCAGTGTCTCATTGTATTTTTAACCATAAGCAAACAAACAAATCACGGTTTATTCAGTCCTGCAGCTCATTTCCGGTGTGAGGAAGTGAGTTGCGGATGTTTTTACTTTCCTTTATATACTTATATCTATATATATATAGCCATGAGTGTATGATAAGAGTCCTATAAAGAATAATATCTATTCAAGATGGTTTGTGTAAACTTCTGGTTATATCTTGTTTTTTTGGCCGTTTTATACACTGAGGGAAGAGGTGACTGTAAATGTGGTGAGTATTCTAATGTCCGTTTTATACACTGAAAGAAGAGTTAACTGTAAATGTGGTTTGTATTGTAATGTCTGTTTTATACACTGAGGGAAGAGGTGACTGTAAATGTGGTGAGTATTCTAATGTCCGTTTTATACACTGAAAGAAGAGTTAACTGTAAATGTGGTTTGTATTCTAATGTCCGATTTATACACTGAAAGAAGAGCTGACTGTAAATGTGGTTTGTATTCTAATGTCCGATTTATACACTGAATGAAAAGTTTACTGTAAATGTGACGAGTATTCTAATGACCGTTTGTTTAGTGTATAAACCGGACATTAGAATACTCACCACATTTACAGTAAACTCTTCCTCCAGTTTATAAAACTGACATTAGAATACTCGTCACATTTACAGTAAACTCTTCCTCCAGTTTATCAAACGGTCATTAGAATACTCGTCACATTTACAGTAAACTCTTCCTCCAGTTTATAAAACGGACATTAGAATACTCGTCACATTTACAGTAAACTCTTCCTCCAGTTTATCAAACGGTCATTAGAATACTCGTCACATTTACAGTAAACTCTTCCTCCAGTTTATAAAACGAACATTAGAATACTCGTCACATTTACAGTAAACTCTTCCTCCAGTTTATAAAACGGACATTAGAAAACTCGTCACATTTACAGTAAATTCTTCCTCCAGTTTATTAGAGAGGTGACTGTAAATCTGATGAGTATTCTGAAATATGTACAGAAATGAGTAATATAAAATATTTAAATATGGTGTGTTGTTATGTTGTCTGTAATGTCACCAGTTTAGTTTGGTTTATCAGTCTTTTAAATCTTCTTTTAATGGTGAACATTTAAACTAAACACTGCCATATATCTAATTCAATACATCGCTTTCTCACAAAGCCAAAGTGATTCCTTCGAATATACTTATTTTATTAACTTTTCTACATAACGGTTTGTTTAGTTGGGTAAACTATGTGAGAATAGTGATCATGTATTGGGTCCATTGATCAATTCGCCAGCTTCCAGGAACTACTATTATAAACAGTGGTCACTGACGAAGGGAATAATGTTTTCTTCTGTAAAAACACCCAACTGTCATGATCGTTAAGGTTTTAATTTATACTGAAACCGATAACTTCTCCAGTCTTTTAATCACACGTCCAGGAAGTAGGATTCAAAACTACTATGTTAAAATCTTAGTTTTTTTTTGCTCATACATTACTTGTTGTTTTTTACTTTGTTAATGCTGCCAAAATTCCTCAGTTTCATAGTATCTACAGAGCAGTTAGCAGTATTACAGAATGCTAGATTTTTTTTTCACTTCTCCCAAAAAACTCCTACAAAAGAAATTATAACAGTTTGAACAAAAAGT